TTGAAAAAAAAAAATGAGTTTTCACCTGCGTTAGAGTTTTATGAGGAAAGGGCTCTCAGAGGGCGTGAGCAGCAGATACCTTGAGAAAATCCAGAGGGAGCAGGGTCAGGCCCTCTTCGTACCTGCAGAACCTCCTTCTCACACTAAAACCGTGGAAGTTCTTTATACTGTTTTTATAAAAGAAATTTACGTAGAATATTTTGTTTTCAGGCATCAAACCATGTAGAGTAGTGGTATTATAGAATGGCTGAAGAAGAAATGGCACTGAAGATAAATGCAGACAGAACCAATGTAAATCTTTCAGGACAAACTGGATGTCTCCGAGTGTGAACATGTGAAAATCTCATAAGGCCATCCACATTAATACATTACATTTTTCTTCCAATGTTTTCCTTTGGGGATATGTATGTATTTCCATGGTGAGGTGTCTTCTAATGCCAAAATAACCACATGTTATGAATACAGCCTGGGAAAGTGCAGTTGATGATTCCCACATTATTTAACACATGGTTATTTAACACATGGTTATTTAACACATGTGTTATTTAACACATGGTTATTTAACACATGTGTTATTAAACACATGTGTTATTTAACACATGGTTATTTAACACATGGTTAAGATTTCTAATTGTTTATACTCCAAGGCAATACAATTCTCACTAGTTTTACACTAGTAAAAGGAGAGTTATGTCTATCATTATATGGAAACAAATCAGGTCTTTAAGAAAAGCCTTAATTTTATGCAAACATCTAAAATGTCTTTAAATCTCCACAGCCCAGGATGCAGCTGCAAGCTACATGTTTGCCTCGACAGCTGCATAAAAGCCCCCACAAGGGGAAGCCCCCTTGGACCAGTGCTCACAAGGATTCTCGACCCTGGGTGTGAGCCAGCAGGACCACTCAGAACCAATCTTTGGCCTGGGATTCTGAACATTTCCCTCAAGACAGATGTGGTGGTTTCCTATAAATGAAGTATTTATGAATCCAAGGCTAGGTACCTGGTTGACTCTGCTATATTGAAAAACAGCCACTTCTGTTACTAAAAACTATTCTTAAGAAGTAACTTATCTACCCAATAAGCTAAATCAGAAAAAGCTACTCGATTACATGTATAAAATAATTGATTGCTAGTGTCTAAAATGCTTTCCATAGTTTTGGATTCATCACCATTTATTTTCTTTTTATTATCAATAGAAATATATATATATTTATTAATATAAATATATATATATATACACAAATCTATACACATAAACACAATACAAAAGACTCATAAGCATAAATATCAATTCCTTATTTCTATAAGCTGATTATTTTCCTACTTCCTACCTTGCATTTCTGTTATTTATGTATCTGTCTTACTTCTACTAAAATTTATGCTCCCTAAAAGCAAGATCTACCCCCATTTTTTCTTTGTATTATCTAAAAACTTTTACAATACCACGGGCTATGTGAGCAAACATGTGATGACCATGCTGAGTGCTACGAAATTATCCTTACAGAGGATGGGGGTAGTTAAGAACAGTTCTATCATAAATGCCAGAGAAAGTATGATGATTTCAGGACAAGACAATAAAGGCAATCAATAACTGAAATCACCAGCAATTCTGGGTTTCATAGTCTGTCACATAATACACTTGAAAATAAGGCAAAAGTACTGAGTACTCTTTTCCACATCAGGCAAAAGAACTGAGTACTCTTTTCCACATCTTTCCCATTCGTATGTCATTTTAGTGGCTCAGCTATTGAGACAAAATTTAATCCAAAGCATTTCCAAGAGTAAAGCCAAACTTGTGCCCATTCTTAATATAATTAGAGTGAACATCCTTAACTTCATATTAGTAGTAGTGACAGTTCAAATTCACCACACTCTGCTTGATTTTTAATATCATATCCTACATAGCAGCACCCAGAGGTAAATCACATAAACGTGACCTCAAGATGAGATTTTGAATGCTCCTTTTCATTCATCCAATTCAGCTGCCTTCTGAATTGAGAAGTTACATGAGAACTGAGAAATTACTTTTATAAATGCTCTCTGAAAATGAATAC